TGCAAACTTGCTGAGGGAGCACTCAGTCCCTATTCTGAACTTCTTTGGGTTCACCAGAATAATCTCCATAACCCTGGATACCTCAAAAAGAAATAATCACAGCCTCCTTGGTCTTCCTTGTAGGTATAATGCTGCCCAAAGTCGTTCTGGGACTGACCTGGTGGACAGATTCCTCCTTATCTTTGTATGACCTGTCCCCGCATCAGAGCTGGCTGCTGTCTGCTTAGCAGGGAGAGATTTATTATCATTAAGAAACTATTTCATTGCTCTTTAGCTTCTTAAAGTGACTGCGAGGAAGGTGAGATCTGTAGATCACTAAAGAATCATGTATTTGATTAAGAAACTTTTTTCATTAGTTTTGAGGATGGGAGTATGTGATGGTTATGACAGCTTTGTTCTGCTTTCTTAGTGAAGAGAAATCCTCCTTTCTGTGTTGTCTATGTTTCCACAAATTCATACATTGTTTTAGAAAAAGGGATCAATGAATGTTGTCACCTATTTTTTTCCTGTATAACCTAACAGAAGACTTCTCTGGAAAATGTGTTGAACTTTTCTTAGCTCCTACTAAGAAAAAATATAATCACCACACACTTAAATCCTGGATACTTTCATATTTTTGCACGTGGAAAACATTATTACAGTTTTATAACGGATCATACTGAGGTTTTCAGAGAATAGGGAGATTCATTCATCATTTTGTTGCCAACAAAGAGTGTATCATTCGGCAAAGCCTGAACTGGGTTGAGACAGTTATGCTGCCCCTTTCTCCCCTCTCAATGTGGCCAACTTGTCATCATATCTACAGGACAGTACGTGCTGGGTACACTTTTGGTGTACGTTACCATTATTCTAAGAATAATCTCTGCAAATGTGGCATTTTTGTAATTATACGTCTGGAATAAGCATAGTAAGAGGAGAATGAGGAGTGACGCAGCTCTCCCCCTCTGTTGGCTGTGTGAGTCTCATGAAAGGATTTGAACTTTACTTAAGTGGCATCTATGATCTTCCAACTAATTCACCATGGTGCAAATCCATCATCTGCTGGTTTGGGGCCCATAATTAAGGGCTGCTTAGACATAGTCAGGAACAGAGGTGAAGCTGTAGGATACGGCTGAATGGAAAAGAATTAAAGACCTGACTAATGTTTTTCAGCATCTGGAGAGTGTATGTTGGAAATACGCATTTGATTATTCACTACTGCTTGTAATAAGGGAATCTTGCACACCAAAACCACTTTAAAATGAAGGGCATTTTGATAGAAAAAGACTACAATATCTGTCCTACATGTGTATCTGTGAGCTAGCAGTAAGCGGGATATAACCAAGGGAACTGGAATGATGCCATGCTGCTCCTGTTAGCCAAATGTGAGTGACAAAGAAAAGTAGAAAGCATCAGTATACAAAAATAAAACAGTGGTAATATTTAGCATTTTTATAATAAATAGATTTAAAAGCGCACAAACAGAAAAACTGGTTTATTACTATGATGCTTACTTCTCTATCTACATGAATCTGTCCTTTTCTGTTTGCATCTTAATCATATTCTTTCTTAGTCTCACTGCTTTCTTTCCTCCTTTCCTTAGGCAAAGCTTGGAGATGAAATTCTTGACTACAGGGATTTGGCTGCTCTTCCTAAAAATAAAGCCATCTATAACATTGACCGCCCAGATATGATCTCCTATTCTCCATATATCAGTTACTCTTCAGATGACAGGCATAGTTACGGGGAGGTACTGAAACATGGGTATCTTTTTTACTATGAATTTGAGATTTTATGTGCATCGTTAAATATGCTGCCAAACACTCTTAAACTTGTGCATAATTTAAAAAAAAATTACAACTTCAGTTGAGTTATGCCATCCATTCATTCACAAGGCAATTTAGCTTTCCAAAAACAAGTGAGATGTTCATTTAACTTTTTTTTAGTTTGTGGAAACGAAAACATTTCTTTCCATGATCATTTTTTAAACAGATGACATGTAATTAAACACTGTTTTTCCATGAGAGGAGTTCTACATGCATGCAGTAGGAAACAGGAGTCATTGCTAATGCAAAAATCAGAAGCGAAGCCAAATGTCTTTCATGATTTTAAATTTTTTTTTGAAGTGTACCATGTTATTTTGATAACACAACAAAGGTGTCGCTTTCCTATGCACAAATTTCTTTCAACTTTCCCTTACTAAAGTTCATCCTCATGTTGTGCATGTATTTCAACCTATTCATATGCAGAGCTAATATTACACAGCTTGCGCTAATGAAATCTGATTTAACATAATCCTACTAATACTAGTTCTGGTTTTTGTGAAGCATATTTTTACATAACTCTTGTCATGCAAGTTAGCTTTTCTTCCCTAACCATATCTAACTTTTGTTTGAATTTCTGATTTCTTTTATTTTTAGATACTTTTTTACAAATCAAACCTCTTATATATACTACATATGTTATCAATATATATATGGTCTAGAATGGAAGTTTGCATTGTTCTCTATAGGTGTAAGTGAATGGGTAGAAATAAATACTATAAATGATAGCTGCACTTTATAATAGCCCCAGTCCTGCTATCAGTTACACCTTTTACACTTAATCTGCTACTGAAGTCTCAGTGCAGGGAAACTGCCCATCCTGGTGACAGCCCAGCTTTTGCTGGGACCCAGCGGCTGTGAACTGTGGGAAACTCAGTATCACACTTTCAGGAGTGGGATAGAAGGTAGTTGAAGTTGAGCTCTAAAAAAGCCCAACCAACCAAAGAAATAAAATCATAGCAAAGAGAGTATTGCTGCTGTCATCTGCTTTTAGTGGGTATCTCAGTGATGAGACCACAACAGAAGGGGGTTATTGGGACAACTGGAGTCATTGCCCTTTTCAGTAGATGTATAACTCATTAGAAGATAAAAGGAACCACATCAAAATGAGGACCTTTTCCCTTGGGGCTATAGGAGACACCTGCAGTGTTGATACCACCAGCTTAATGCTGTCTCAGGTAGGTCTGTGCTGATCTAGGCATTTATGTCAGCAAGACTCAGTGATATCTTATAAAATAAAAAGTTGGGTTCAGTCATCTGTTTCGAGGTGCCTAAACCAGAAGGGGATTTTGGGCTGTGCTTGCAATCCAACATACACATTTTCAAGATGTTCCAGATATCTACATCCTTGATATTGCCAGGGGAAAAAACTGTCACAGAGTCATAGAATATGTCAAGTTGGAAGGATCCCATAAGGATCATCGAGTTCAACTCCCTGCTCTTTGCACAACTAGCTAAACCTAGACCATGTGACTAAGAGTGTTGTCCAGGTGCTTCTTGAACTCTGACAGGCTTATGCTATTCCCTTGGAAGCCTGTTCCAGTGACCAATCACCCTCTGAGCAAAGAACCTTTTCCTAATGTCCAATCTGAACTTGCATTTCACATGGAAGACGAACTTCCAATGCAGCTTCATTCCATTTCCTCATGCCCTATGACAGGTCATCAGGGAGAGATCAGCACCTCCCCTTCCACTGCCCTCCTTGAGGAAGTTTTAGACTATGATGAGGTCACCCCTCAACCTTCTCAGAGCTGAGCTGAACAAGCCAAGTTACCTCAGCCACTCTTCGTAAATCTTACCCTCGAGACTTGCAGACATCTTGGTCGCCCTACTCTGGACACATTTTGATGTCCTTATATCGAGGAGCCCAAAACTGCACACAGTACTTGAGGTGTGGCTGCACTAGTGCAGTGTAGAGTGGGATGGTCACCTCCTTTGACCAGCTAGCTACGCTGTGCTTCACGCACCCGAGGACATGGTTGGCCCTTTTGGCTGCCAGGGCACACTGTTGACTCATACTCAACTTGCCATTAACCCAAACCCCCAGATCTCTTTCTGTGAGGTTGCTCTCTAGTCTCTAGTCCCCCAGTTTGTATTGTCTTCCAAATTTCATTATCCTTTGCTACACCTGCAGCTGCAATAATTTCAGTAGATTTCTGCTCAACTAACCAAGTTTAGCCTTTGATTTTGAAAGGAAATGAACAAACAGCAAATTTTCAAATTAAATAATATTTAATTAAAAATTAAATAGTACAGCTATTTTTCTTGCCCCTAAACCAGCCAGCTCTGAGCAGCAAAGTTCTAGGTGAGATTTTGGAGCTGCTTCAATGCAGATTTAACTAGGACTTGTGTATAGTTTCAGGCAGTTGCTTTAAATGTGTTTCCCTACTGGCAGCACTCTCTGTGGTACAGTACTGGCCTCCGCAGACTCCGAGGTTTTGTAGTAAAGAAATCAACAAAAGCTTTATATAAAATTATTTATATCTTATTCCTTATTTACTTCTTTAAAAACAAGTAAAAATTGCCCTAACTTAATTGACAGGTGCTTTTTTAACTGTATCATGTTGTACATGGATATTGATATTTTAAGAGTAGTTCTTCTCACAAGTAACATCATGCATGAATTTGTATCACTAATTTGTTGTGTGTTGCTGTTTGCAGTCACCTCAGTTGCTCTCTCCAACACCTACTGAGGTAATCCTCAATGCCTTTGTTCTCCTGTTCTGACCCGTTCTGTGATGCATAATCCTGGCCTTATTGATAACCAGAAGTGTCTGAAATGCGGGGTTTCCCTCCTGCCTCTTCAGTGCATGGGGGTTTATAATCTATGGTTTTTATAGTGTTACCTGTGTTGAATACATGCTCTGCTTCTGGATTGTCATCTGTATGCCTCTATCTCCACTGTCATCCATGTTTCTGCCTTCCAAAATAAAGGTTGTATTGTGGTCACTTCTTCAAGCTCTGCTAAATAAATTACATTCGGTTATATGATTTATGTTTACATTTAAAGTTGCCAACGTGAGTTGACTTGAATTAATGCTTGGCATAGTTTTCTGTTATTTTTTTCTTTTTATTTTTTTATTCCACAAATAGTTAAACTATTTATACTATTTGTGCACGCATACTGTTAAATCATTTGCACATACGTGAACTTCTAGGTCTTTGTTCTTTGATGTACGTTATGATCAAGTCCAGTCATTATTTCAAGAAACACCACCTTGGAAGCTGTGAAAGCATTTCACATAGTGTCCCAGGTAGTAACTCAATTACATATCACAGGCCTGGGTAATTTCTGCATCATCCCAATGTTATGATAAGAGAACTGTATTGCAAAATGTTGGTAATAGTGGAGAATTGTGAATTTTCCTTAACGATTGTAAATCATCAACTGTCACTATAAACATTGATTAAACAGGGAAGGTAACCAATAGAACTGTGATTTAATTGATAGTTTAAAAATAAAACCGTAGTCTATTTAGTATTGGATTTCATGAACTTGATTGACTGTTCCTTACAGAGACACAAAGTACAGAAAAGGTAAGGTCTGACATAATCAGTATGAAATCTTGGTGTTTTGAAAGATTGTAATAGTTTCCTTTAATTAACTATCAGTTAGCAAACAGTCCTACTCTTAAAGTCCAGAACAGACACTAGTATATAGGCTAGGGCTTTCATGGTTCGTGTTATGTGAATTCTCAAGGTTACCCGGCTTTGCCATTCATGCTCTCTTTCTCTAAAGAGCCTATGATCAGGTGCTGAGGCAACATCATCTGCAAACTTGCCACTAGTTTTGTTGCAGAGAGTTTTATTAGAGGAAAATTCCACTGTATTATGCAATTGGACATCTCATAGTCCACTAGCTAACATCATATGATATATAAATATTATTGCAAGACTTTCTAGACATTACTATACTGCTTGTAACTCATCACAAGGGTTAAAATGGATATTAAATAATGTAGCTACTTTGGGAGGGAAACATCTCAAACTGGGCATAGAGGGGTTGTTGGAAGAACGTCTATAGGATGCTGCATGCTTGGGAACTGATCAGTTGTTCTCCCTTTTATGTATAATTTCTTCTGATATTAAAGCAATAATGCTACTTACCATTATACAAAGCTAATTTTCCATTTTTGAAAATGCAATCTGGGCTGAGGTGGAAGAAACAGAGCACACAGCCAGAGGAGAAAAACTAATGATGGGAGAACATTGTACATCTCCCTAGAGTCAAGGATAATCCCAGAGAAGCCAAATGGAAAATTGTGTTCGTCTAACAATGAATGGATGGATATAATTAAGTTGTCCTGGTAGGAATCTGGGAGATGATGATGAGGCTAAATAGGATCTCCTCTGTGTTAAAATGATGAATGATCCTGTGGGAGTCACACAAATGCCTAAATATGGCCCAGGATTCATGACAATTGAATAACACCTGCTGTGGTATAGTGTATCTTCACTCAGTCCTACTAGAATAGGAGAGGGGGAAACATTCTTTGGAGTGGGACTTTCCGTAAGAGAACATCTGCAAGTTACATTGTTTTGTTCTAATTTGAAGTTAACTCAAGACAATTCTTGCTCATTTTAAAAGAAACAAGAAATCTGATTTAGCTTTTATATCTCATTTACGAAAATAATTTCCACATCTAATTCACTCAGTAATGTTTTTACTGTTAAGAAGACACACTGAGCAAATTGCAGTTGTAATTTAACTTGCTATGGAGAGTGAGGAGTTTGAAATTGGTTTTTAAGTGGTTAAAGCCAAGGTTTTAGTGGGAGGTGGGATGTATGACTTTGCACAATGCTGCAGTATTTATGCTGATGCTATATATGAGTGTTTGTATTGGTTACCTAGCTAGTAATGACCATGTTGTAATATGGTATGCTGGGCAATTTATATAGCAGACACAGTAATTTCTGTGATGTAATGAATGCTGGTTTTTGTGTTGTCTGTAACCATGATGCAGCCATTCATATGGGTACAAAGTGACCATAGTACTATCACGCTAACCTGATCTCATCTTCCACCCACCCATGTATGTTCAGGAAATTACACTGTCCTGAAGCAACACTTCTACAGTGTTACGTTCTTTTCAAATGATATTGTCATTTTAAATTCATGTATGTGTTGACTTTGCTGGGAACATGACCGTTCTCTGATACTTGGCAGAGCTCTTTTGGTCACACTGAGGTGGAGATGCTTACAGCTGAAAGCCACCTCATTTATTGGGATTGCATGGAGCAATATGACAGCATCAACTTTCATCTACGTGGCACAGAAACGTGCAAAATGGCATATTCTGCCTGTTTCAGAAGTTATTTCTCTTCGCTGATCTATATTTCCTCTCTTCCTCTCAGGGTGACCAAGATGACAGATCTTTCAAGCAGTACAGGACATCAAGTCCTAGCTCTGCTGGCTCACTGGGCTATGGTCGCTACACTCCAACCTCCCATTCTCCTCAACATTACAGCAGACCAGGTAATTGAAAAGCAGCTTTATTTATTCTCTGGATTTTTCCACTACATTGTCTTATGTTGTAAATAGGGTAGACTCCGGTAGACAGGTGTTTAAGGTGGAGTAGCAGTTCATTGCAGTCATTTATTTGCTGTGAACAAAGAGTCCCATGAGAAGAAAGGAAATAAGTGCTTGAGGAGGGAGCATCTAAGAAAACAAAAACAGTCAGCTAGAAAGATTGATTTTATGTACTTGTAAACAGAAGATAGAACAATTTAAAAGACTTAATACTGGTCCCATTCTGCCTGAAGCTACATATTCAATCCACAGCTCTTTCATGGTGTGGCATGGTAAAAGTGAATGCACATAAAGCCAAGATGGTGATCGAGTGATTTCATATCCCTTCTTGTACCACAGGGTTGTGATCCATGTCTCCTCTCCACAGTGCAAGAGCTGGAGGAGGGATGAGTGGTTCTAATGGCTGAATTTTGAAGGCCAAGTTGCTTTAGTTGAGAAGCTTACAGCAATGTTTATTGCAGCTTTGAGGCTCTTGTTGCACAGAGAGGAGGAATCGATCCCTTTTGATCATTGCATGGGTGCCCCATACAAAGGCTGGTTCATATTTGGGCATTATACAGGGCTTTATCCTTGGAAATAATCAACTAAATTGCTCAAAATTAATTTTAATTTTTCACCACTTCATTTGGGTGGAAAACAGAGCATTTATATTATTTTCTTGGTGTCATTTAATTTCATTGAGGATACATTATAATTATGAACAAGTTTGGAAAATTGGAAGTTTTTAATCTTTCCAGTGGAAATTAAAATTTTATGGATAACAGAAACAGTTCTAACAGGATTTGAACATTTGTACTACATAAAGTCTTTGACAAAGTGGAAATGAGATTGAGTATCAAAGATCTATTAAAGGGAGGAAAGATTAGTCGCTGCTGAAGGTCTGGCAGCTGTGTCATGCTTAAGCTTAGCTGCACACTGTTAAAGCAAGGAGGAAAGACGAAAGAAATTCCAAATAAATTCTAATATTTTACAGCTTCATTGAAAATTTAGAAGATAGTAATCATAATTGCCACTTTTAATAATTGCCATTAGTGCTCCAAAATGTTTTATCGGGGCATTATTACAGCAAAACAAAGAAAGATGACTTTTGAGAATGTTTTTCAAAGCACTTAATCACTTGTCTAACTTTCAGAGCTCAAATAACTTCAGGATGTTCCTTCAAATGTCTTAATTAGCCATGCACTTGAGTGCCCTGGTGTGTTGTGAGCTAAATCTTACCAGTGTGCACCAATGGCATTGAGAACTGAACACGCTCATAGCACAGTTCTCAGCAGAGACAAGACTCGCCCCATTTCATTTCATTAGATCCATTCTGAACATATATCATTCCCTTTTGCAGCTCTTGAATATGCAGATTTTCCCCTGAGTGCAGCTATGCTTTTTGTGTTGCCTTTTCTGGAATATTTTCTGATGTATTACATTATCAGCATTTTAAATGAAACTCTTTCTGTCTGTAGAAAGCCCATGTCCCTTGGCCAATGGCATAGTGTGGCCACTGTGATGTTTTTAGCAATAACCAGAGAAAGATGAAGTCTTAAACATAAACAATTTGTTTTCTAAGCATCAGGAGGAAAATGTTCCTGAAAAAGGGGATGGCATTGTAACTTATGGCTTTCAGTAAGTGAACTAAATAGTTTATTTTCACTTACTCTCTGTTGCCCCCAGCTGGTACTCAGAGTCTTGGTACCAGTAGCTGCATCTCCCTGCCCCAACACCCAAGCCCTACATCTACATTCAGACATCATTACATCCCTTTCTTCAAAGGTAAGGTCCAGGAATGCAAAACTGTGCTGTGATACTGTAGACTTATTCAGATGTGTTTCACTTTTATGTCTGTGCAAGCATGGCTTCCACTTGGATAAAATTTGTCTGAATTTTGTGCAAGTGCTTTCTTGATGTACTGTGTAAGTTTTAAGAACTGGGTGGGTATGGATTGTTTTATTTTTGCTTTTTTTCAGCGAGTGTTAAGTGTTTTTCAAAGGGGTGGAGGGAAGGAATTAGATTTTCTAATGAAAATTAGTGAGGGAAATAATTTTAAGGTATCTTTGTTCTGAAATACGTTTACCCTATTTTGCTGACACTAAATAAATATTGTAACGGGCTTACACATTGGATCCAACATTGAATGATCAGTTATGTAACCTTCTACCCTACATTTAGAGATTCGTAATATTATTTCTAGCATTACCAAAAAATATGCCAGAAAGCTGGTTAAATCAGTATACCCACACTGATTAGCTATTTTTTTTAGCTACTTAGTTACGTGTCAGAAAGAGAAGACATTCAGCTACCACATGTGTCTTCCTCTGCGTCTGTGTGGTCTAGTAACAATATGAGTGACGACTTGAACGATGAATGCCAAACATTTTCAGTGCCTGTTTCTTGACTCTCATGTATTGTTTGATTGAATAAAGCAAAACTGTTCTTCTTGTTGTCATAACCATTACAGAAAAGAAAGTGACCCTCTGAAAGAACCAGACTTATGAACAGGTCTGAAGTGCAAACACAAAGGAGTAGCAGGGTCTCATTGCCTTTGGAAAAATAACTGATGACTCTTCACTGGGCCCTAATGCATCCAGAAACAGTTCTGGCCAAGGTCAGCTGAATTTCACAGGTATAAACAGGAACAGAGTGAGGCTTGAGTCTCCCAGATGTGATCCCTGAGAGAAAATTTTGGAGGACACACATTTCTTGGAAGACTGGCACTCACCTGGTATTCCCTGAGATGCTGCTTGAACAGTTTTATGATCTGTCCTCTAAATGTAGACACTAGCATCCAATCTGATATACTGAGTCAGAAGAAACCTCTTTAGTGTGCTGCAGTGCATGATTGGAAAGCTCTTGTTCGAAAGCCCGCCTGCAGTTGCTTAGCAGCACTCCTCTTAAAATGAGTTGCTGTTGTTTGGAGCAGCAACAGTTACTTAGTGCTGCTGTTCAGAGGATGAAAACCTCAAGTGGCAGCTCCTTGTGCACAAACAATTATTAGTAGTGTGATCAAAATTATAGTATTTTGCAATTCTGCAGCACCTTTTATCAAGGAGCTAAAATATTTTGCAAGCAGTAGCTTACAGTGCCTCACAGTGCTTCTGTGAGGCAGGCAAGCCTGTTTATAATTTTCTTATATAGGTAATCTGGAGCCCTGCAGAGGTTATATAGATTATCCACTGTTTTACAGTGAGTTAATGTCTCAGTCTGAATGCAGTCAGAAAATTTGCCCCCATCCTCTTAAAGTTCTCTGAATTCTTTTCTCTGAGTTGCAGACTGCATTTTTTTCCCTTACCTAGAGAAGCCTTTTGAGGGTGTCAATGTGCTATATTTTTCTCTTCAAAGTGGTTAGTATGGGAAGAGTAGGATAGTACCCATCGTGGCTTTGTATCCAGACCAAGGTTAATGTGCCACTTCAGTTTTAAAAAAGTAAAATCATACTCATTTTATTGACTCATTTACTCTTTTTATTAAATCCAAAAATATTGCACTGCTTAATTATACTAGAAGTAATCTTTGTAAAACCAGCACTCCACAGTCATCATTAAGAAAACATTTCTTTAAGCTTCCAGGAGAGAGAAATGTTACTACCCATGGGAAATTAAAACAGGCAGAATCTTCCTTTTGACTTTACTGAGTTTGCATCATACTCATCCTGAGAATTACATGGTTCATAATTTTTCCAGTGAAAAATATGATTACTGAGTTCTTGTTCTTCTTCACTCTACTGTAGTCTAGCTCCTATGAAGTGTAATGAGCTACTCTTTACCATGCAGACAAATGAATTGGTTGTGCTCTTTTAAGGACTTTTTGTCTTCAAAACATCTTCAAAATTAATCCTGTGACAGCCTCACTTCAAGAAAGTTTCACAGTTCACACCCTTGCAAATGGTGTGATATTCCAAGGATCTGTGCTTGGTGTGATGCTATGCTCTTTCTCTTGAGGTGACGGAGTTGTGAGCGTACAGGCCGTGCTGAGCCTTACTGAAAAAAAGCTTACTTAAAACATTGTGGACTGTGTCTTGCCTTTCGAGTGCAGTAGCACAGCTTCCAAAGCCTGTTTGGCTTTGAAGGCTTGAAAAGAATTAGTCATGAAACTTAGGAAAACTTTGTCTAGCTTAATGCACTGTGTGCACAGATACTAAAGGATCCAGTTTCAGAAGCAGGCTCCGACATCTCCCTAATTAGGCCGGTGGTGTCTGTTTGTTGTTCAATCCCAAACTTAGACAGCTCTTACTGTAACTTGTTATCAAATTTTCCATCCTTCCAGATAAGACAAAAGCTGACTAGGAATGAAGTATAAACAATATTATACTTTTCCTGACAATCTCTTCAAAAGGGAGCATGGTCTGAGCTCTAGTTAATTGGCTCCACACACCCAAGGTTAAAAGAGTGGCCTACCCTGTCAGCTGCCAGAAGATGCAAGGAAGTTTTTGTGGTTGACACTCAAGTTCAAAGTAAACCTTTCCAGATTCTTTCCAAGTTAAACAAAATCTGGGGAAGAGTTCATGACTCTGGTTTTTCGCTCTGCACTGACCAGCAGAGCAGATCACAGCCTGCAGCTGCTTGTGGCAGAAGACAAACCCAAAAGTTTGAAAAATCGCGCTCTTTGGTAGTTTTATTTTCTCTGAGACCTTATTTGAAGTTATTCTTCAGTGTATACCAGGCAGACTTTGAAAGAAACCGATTTTTGGCAAAGTCTTATTTTAGATATTTTAATTATAGGCTAGATTAAATGACTGTCTATAGTTCCTAGACATGAACTTTCTACATGTGTCTTCAGTTTGCTTTATTATTGAATACTTCTTTTTGTATGCAAAATGTGAAATACAATTACTCTTGTGTGTTTGTCTGAATCAGTGACAGAATTAAAGTTTAAATGTGCATCAGCTTGTACGAGCGGGCTGCAGGAAGAACCTTTTCCCTCATTTAATCCTTAATTCTTCTGTTTCGAGGAAGTTAGAGGTGATGGCTTTGCAAACTGCTCCACATAAATGATCCTTGCATCGAGCAGTTTGCAGATTTACTGTCCCCTGGTACTTGTGCTTGCAAGTTTATTCGTCTTAGTGCTTTCGCCTGATTCCCCACTGACATCTCACCCTAACCCTGAAGAGTGTCTCTGTGTGTGTACGATGCCAGCACCTTGGGGTCACTGCTCAATGAAGTAATTATTCATGCAAGTCATAAATGAATGAGTTTTTAAATAATATGCTAATTTTAAGTAAATGAGAATTAACCCACTGTGAAAATCACTTGAAAACTTTTCTTTTTGATGTAAAAAATTCCAATAGTAACATGGTATAATGATTTTTAAGGTTATTGGAGTTGTAAAAGACCTTACTTAAGTAATTGCCTACCACTGCTCTTTGCGTTCAAAGTTGGAGTGATATTAAAACTTCTTCCACTTAGGAGGGATGGCCAAGCTTCTGGACAGTAAGCAGCAAAGAAGGTCTCAATTAATAAATGTGCAGTGCAAACACCACTTCTTTCCTTCCAAAAGCAAAGCAGGAATCAAGAAACTGAATAACTGTCTGGTTCCTTGTGTGAGGACAACTTGACTGCAAGCTGGTGGTGATGCACCAGATTTTTAGTGATGCCATAATTCTTCTCTTACTTTTTTGAAAGGACCGTAGGCTATCAGCATGTACAATTGTCATTTCAATTTCTCAACAGCTCTGATTACCTTTTTTCAATGAGAAATCACTGTTATTGAGTACACAGTGGTAATGGCTGAATAGTTTTTGGGTTTGAATTTTTCACCAACTGTGAAAATAACAGACACAAATTTTAGAACAAGTTAGTTAGTGTATCATCATGAGATACAGAGCACACTCTTCTGACCTTATCTGGCCTGCTTCTGCTCCTGTTGGACTCAGTGGTCCACGTCAAGGCTGGCTTTGGTGACAGACCGATGTCCACGCATCCACTGCTTGTCAGCAGAGGCAGAGAACACCTCCATGGGCATGGCCTAGACAGTTGTGGTAATCCAGTAGTTTTATGGTTATAAAACTTCGCCTCCCTGAAGACAGAACTCAGATATAGGTCTAGTGCTCTGAGCTGCTTCACTTTCTTAACCCCCCAAAAAACTTGCTGTACTTTCATTGTTACTAGCCATTAAATTTGTGCTCCATCCACACTAAAACAGTAACAGCAAATTAACAACCATTTTATGTTAGAATAAATGTCATGTTTGGCTTCCAGTTGCTTAACAGTGCTGTAAATTAATTGGATTTTACAAGTCCCAAAAAAGTAGAGCTTTACTTTTTTGTTTGGCAAGCAGCACTATAATGCCATAGAGTGTGCTTCGGGGAAATAAGCTAAGAGGAAATGAACCGCACCTAATGAGCATTTGACAAAACAAGTGGATAAATGAATACGGATCAATCCTATGTGTATCTTGAAATTTGGTGAAGTGACTATGGCATTATAGATCCATGACTTGATAATCCAACTTTGTTTGCATAAATATAAAATGCTGTAGCATGTTACCTGTGGGAAAAGTTCCCAATTAAGAACCAAATTTCAACATCTGTTTTCATCGTTGATACATGCAGGAGTATTTGACTTAGCCATAACATCTGTTTTTAGGTTTAGTCCTGCTTTGAGATAGTTTAAACATTACTGAATGATTTCATTACTGATTTCAGGGGCAGGCTATGAGCCATAGTATTAAACTTTTCAGAAACTTGATTGAGAAATTATTCCGTTAACGCTATGCAAATCACATTACAAGATTGTGAATGTGCTTATCCTTTTATTTCTTCATTGAAGTGTTGTTAAAAGAGAAGCTTTAGTTTCAAAGTTGAGGCAGTTTAATCTGACATTATCTATCAGATATTAACTATTGATGGGATGTTTGGAGACTGAGCCAATACACTGTGCTGAAAAATAATGCGTTTTACAAAAACCATGTATTTAAAACTGTTGGATTAACAAGTCATTCTGAACAAGCTTTTATGCTTGAAATACTCTACTTTGCTTTCCATTTTTTCTTTTATCTGCTTTCTTTGCTCTTCCCCTTGGAGGCAGTGAAAGTGGTCGGAGCACTCCAAGCTTATCCATGTACTCAGACAGCAAATCTTCACCTTCTGTCTATCAGCAGGCTCCTAGGCATTTCCATATTCCAGGTAGGCATTCACTGCTTAGCTTTTGATCTTCAATTGCTGGCATCTGTTTGTTCTCTTCTGAATGTAATCTTTTTTTTTTCCCCCCACTGATTTATGAATTTTGATCTGCAAGTGAAGAAAATGTTCTATGAGTAAAAATCAGTTACTTGTTAAACTTCATCTCAGAAACAAAGGAGATAGAGAGTTGTGTCCTTATCTATATAAAATAAAATTGCGTTAGAGGAGGCACACAGTGACAAATGTTACTAAGCCTACAAAGACACAATTATTTATAGGGCCACGGCTGCATACGTGTGTTGAATTTGTGTGTAGGAGGGAAGACTGAAGGGGTTGTTGTTTTGTTTTGTTTTGTTTTTTCCCCTTATCCATCTACTCTCTAAATTAAAGAGTCATATTAACATAGACTTTAAAAATAGCTGGAAGATGGTATAACTCCAGGAAGCTCACTGTGGCTGTATCTGTGTATATGTACTATACTGTTTTCAAGTTCACATTCAGTTATCAAGCACATTAAATTTATGTCCACACTTGTTTAGCTTTTTGACTGCTGAGCAATCGACCTGCTCAGTGAAGTAGTTTGTTTATTTATGTTTATCTTCTGTGATTAACAGTTTTGTAAACACACCGTAGTTAGGAATTCTATCTGCTCAGATCTGTAGTACTAAGTAAATCTGTTGTCAATACAACACGATATGGAAACCCTGGGTTGTGGCTCAGGGGGCTTTCAAAAAAATAGTGGAAGGCCAGGTTAGCTATACAATTCCAAATATAGACAAACTGTAGAATTTCCTATAAGAATATTGGACTTTTCCAGTATAAATGTCTGTATCTGAGCGTGTATGCTTTCTTCATAATTAATGGAGAAAGTCCCTTTTCAAGTGTGACTCTTACAGTAGTCCATTGTACCTGTATATGACTTTTATTTTAGGTAGTGACAAGTGTAGCCAATTTCTCTTTGTTGTCTATGAAGTATAAATTAGTAGTGCTAATATAACCACCTACATTTCAGCAAAAGGATGCCATTCAAGGTGTCTTAAAGCATTCTGAGGGACTTAGGGGGGATTATGCTGCATAGGTAGGTGTAGCCAATGTTTTCAGTGTCTAAAGATGATGGGTAAGGCTTCATTCTCTTCTAATAACCAGTGAATGACAGACCACTGAATGAATGCATAGTCTTTGCTGAAGTGTTTGCATTTTGAGTGTTGTGGAGAGCAGACAAGAGCTGCATGGTCTGAACTGCTTGCTTACTCTTTTATTCTTTCCTTTCTTTTTCCTCTTCCTCAGACACTGGCGTAAAAGATAACATCTATAGGAAACCTCCTATCTACAAACAGCATGGTACAGTCTGCTTTTCTCTGTTGCCGTTTTGTCTACGCGTCTTTCTAAAGAAATGCATATTGACTTCCAAATTGATTTGCTGTAGTCTTTGCATTTCACTGTGTCCCTATAATCTCAAATAGAAAAGGAGGAAAAGTAATGTGAAAATTAAATAGCATTTTGCATAACATGCTGTCCAAGGATTCAGTAAATTCTCTAAAACTGGGATAATGATATTTTTGTCTTGGTAATTCAGAGCTGATACTAACTTCAAAGCAGTTTTCTTATTTATGGAATGATACAAAACATGTGAATGTTTAAGGTTGCTGTCCTGTCTTCAGACAATGTCTTGGAATATCTGCATTTTGTAAATAATTCTGACTTCTACATTACTGAGGAAAAAACTGTTCATTGATAAGTGGTGCATATGAAAGATCTACTTTTCACCTGCAAGTTCTTCAAGCTGTAAAGTATCAAGAACAAATGTAGTCACATGATGGCAGTTAGGAACAAATTCAGTAGCTGATAACATTGCCAAGATATGATTGGAAACCTTTGGTAGACCCAGCAACAAGATTGCTCTCTGAGATTCTAAACAACAGGAAGAAACATGTGATGTTTTATGCCACTGAGAATCTGACTTAAGACCCTAGTGAATATGAAAAATAGAAATATGAAGTCTGCATTCTTCTACTACTTCTGCATTCTTCTATTACTGTTTTGCTGTATAGTCCACTAATTAACATCAATGCAATTTCCATGTTCATGTCAGTGCCTAGCGATGTTTGACAATTATATAGTTCATGATACAGGATTAGTAATAGGGAATTCATTTTTCTGAACTGAATTTCACTATTAACTGTTGGAAACAAATATGTAGAGATTCTGCTGCAATAAGGATGGATGTAAAGCACGTAAGTACCTCTCTGCTTATTAGAAGAGCAATGACTGGGGTACTCCTGTACTCAGAGGCAAAGGATAAAAATAAAAAAATGTGATATAAATCTGCTCCACGTGAAAAGCTATTTTAATCATGATTGCACCCCGGCTAGGGAACAAATGCAAAAATAAAATAAAAATGGGAGATGTTTGTCACACTTTTTGGGTGAAAGCACGTATCTTTGGGGATACAGGTGGGAGAACAAAGCTGTGCCACTCTTCATGGCAAGGGAAGGTCCAGGTGGTGCCTGTGAGCAGTGTCTCTGCTGGAGCAACTCCTCCCATCCCATTGCCTTCTGCAGCACTGTATGCACAGAGGTGACTTCCCATGCTGTACGTAAGAGTGGGAAAGCCTCATGTGTCCGTTCTCTCGTACTTTGGCTTTAGCTGATAGCTGATAACTTTCCCTGAGTGAAAAGTTAGGGAACTGCAGATCCATCCTTGCCTTCATGGTCAGAACAACAAAAATACATTTTAGATATTTTTCTTTTGTGGTAACAGGGGGCTTTAACTGATTTTAAAATACCCAGTTAACATAGTTTTAAAAATTATGCTTTTATGTAGTTATCATTTTTATACTATCTTTCATGGAAAATGACAGTTATTTCTGTTTTGGATGAAGTTCTAGCTTGAATGTGATACAATAATAGGAGGAAGAAAGTTGTCAACTGATACCTCCCAGCTGAGTGAGTCAGCCCGTGCACACTCCCAGTAACTGGTGCTTCGTGCTGCAGTAACTGTACATTCAGATCATCCAGATGTAGATAACCTCTGTTTTTTTTCTGGGTATGGTTTTGAGCAAAGTCAGACTCACTGACGTTTCAGTGCATTTTAGGTGTTGGTCTTTGATGCACATTGTCTGCTCACAGCATCCTAATCTTGGACAAACTAATGTTACCCCCGAGGCAAAAAGATAGTATCTGTTTGGTTTAGTGCTTGATTTAATGTAATCTGCCAACCTTATCGTCTGCCCAAGCTCTCTAATTCCTTCTTGTCTTTAGATATACAAATCATTTGAGGCTGAACAAAAAAAAAACGCTACTGGCAAAGGAAGAAGTTGAATATTATGGTGGTGTTTGGAAAGATCACAAGCAAATGCAAAGTTACAATCATCTGGTGTAAGTCAGCATAGCTTCACTGATTTACACAAGCTGATTATATAGCTCTGGTGTCCTGTATCCTGGCTGTGTCATTTAATTTTATAGACACTTTTGGTTTGCAAAGAGGATTCTACGCAGCAGAGGTTTTTTTTCTTCCAGGTCAGGCATTTTTCTATCAATTTTTTTCTATCAGATATGCAGTCGAAGTCTGGATTATGTCAGTTTTGCACTGTTCTGTAGAGTTGTTCCTCGTAATCACTAGAATGAGTGAAGAATTAAATTATCAAGTCAACAATTTCTATAGGTTAACAAGGATATATGTTTTAAACTTTCTTTTATAGATTGTAGATGTTCAGAAGGTTGTGTTGAAAATTCATGCTTGTTTTTTCTACTGAAGATGAAAGAAAAATTTACTCTTAACTCAAAAAATAAAAGAAATCAATGAACTTTTCTTCCAATAAAAAAAAAAAAACACAAAAAAAACCCAAAACCCAACCTTTTATTCTGGAAGAACTCCTAGCTGAAGTGTGAAGACATGATGATTCAGCTCCTCAAGCTAACGGGACACTGAACGGCTACTTGCTGAAAAGGAGCCAGGGAACATTCCTTTGTTGAATAGACCAAGTTTGAACAAACAAGCACAAAAACTTCTTTGAAACAGAAGTGGAAGAAGCTCTTCCAAAACACTTGGTGTTAAAAGGTTTCAGTTACAGCAGTGCCCAACATATTTGCTGTAGCTACAGCTTCTGTGTTTCTATTATAAACACCCAAGTTCAGAATGAAAAAAGGCTGAGATCAAGCTGGGAGCTGGAGTTGCAAAGTGGAGAGTGCGGGAGCCTGTGTGGTTGTTCTTTGGTGTGTGTTCATGTTTCAGAAACATTTAAACATCATTCAAAGTTTAAAAAAGAAATGGAAGAGGTTTGCTCTTTGGCAATATTAGCACTGATCCGTGTGCAACATCAGTGCACATTGGGGTTCTCAGTAGGACTAAGCATCCCTTGTAGCAGGGAAGCTGATGGTCAGTACTGATGAAATTCAGGACATGTGGATGTACGTGCCAATGATGACTTGTATAAAGCCCTCTCAGGAACTTAGGAGGGGCAGGCCTTCGTGGTCCCCATTGGTTTTTAGTTGTACTCCTCTGCAACTCTGTATAAAGCCTTGGTGTTTTTGAAGTCAAATGCTCTCAAGATCCCATGGAACATTTGAAGGCTCTGAATAACACTTTGGCTTAAATTTATTTTTTTCTCCTTTGAAAACATCAGCATTTTGAAACAAAAAAAAATTCCAAAAATGCATCAGATTCTCTATATGTATTTCTGATTTGGTGCAAGCAAGATTTATACATATAACCCGGAACAACTTGTTGATTGGTGATTTAGGGTTTGATCCCAATATATCAGTGAACCAGATTTAAGTCCTTCTTGCAATGTAGGGACTTTATTTTTCATCTGTCATATATGGATATTTCTTTCTGTTTCTTTCTCAGAAAAGCAGCTTGCCATCCTGATAAAATGTCCTCTTCAGGATGGTAACTGTGAAAACCTTGATTTTTGTCATAATTTTTTTTTCATTTTTTGACCCAGTTTTGTTTTGACACATTAAATTGAGCAAAAAATAACAAAACAAAATGTTTATGGTTACAGATGTTTTCACCTCTAACCCCTAGATTTTTTCCTTACTGCGATTTGTCATTTTTTAAGTACACCTCCTTAACAAAACCAGTTAAAGTCTGGATGCAAGCTGTGTGATGGCACCAGAAAATGAAACAGAATAGCACTGAAATGTTAATGGTGGTGGCCTTTTGCCCGAGTTGTTTAGATGCAGGGCAGGTCCTCTGCAAACAGCCTGGATAGGGAAATGGAAAGGGCAGCATTGTTCCCAACTTGCTGGGAGTGTTGCAGCACTACTAACAGTGCAACTTGATCTCCTCCTCATATCTGAAAGTCTAATCTGAGCCTTAACACTTGTGTTACCACACTGTCTTTATGATTAATAAATATGTTTTCTGGCTACATGGCATTGCATGGGGATCTTGTCTTGCCCTTGCACTGAGGCATTGCAGACAACTCTCCCCAAAACATAGAGTGATACAAAGGCAAGTAGGACTCAAATTTTAAGAAGTTATCTGAAATGGTGTCAAATTCGGCACGAAATATTTCTGTAAGATTCTGAGATGTAACTCAGTGTCTGGACAATACTCTGGGACATAAAAAAACTAAGGAAAAACACATTTGATGGTTGGGAACTATCTAATGAATGGCTGGTAGGTTTTCAGTTTTGAGTTCTCAGCTAGTTGGAAAGTTACAAGAAAATAAATCAACAGTAAAATATCAGAAATATTTTTTTGGTAAAACACTCTTTAAAAGGGCAGTGTAGTCAGAAAAGTGGTTGCTCTTAGAATTGTGAATTTTAGAGTCTCTTTTGCAGATTTCATGAGGAGGTAATGCCAAATTTGTTCCTATCTTCTTTACCAACATTGCCTGTCCTTTTTGGGACTGTAGGAGGCCCAGGTGTGCAGACCACAAAACATCCATGTAACCATATGTACTTTCGTGGTCATGGTAACACAGGAGAATGGAGAAATTCCTCCTGGGTGCAGTGACCATATAAACATGTCCCTAAGTTATGATGTAAGTTTTTTCCCCACCAGTCATTCCCCAAAAGTAGTTTCTTCCTAAAAGAA